AGAAAAGACCAGTCACTTTATTTGCTGTGATTGTACTTCTTTGGCCAGTCTAGGGTCTGTGTGATAATGCTCCTATTCAGGTTAGTTCATGCTTGATTTATGAGTGAGGTTTCACGTGACGCAGCATCAAACTGATTTTCCAAAGGAAAAACGCCTTCTGCTCTTCACCCATTAATTCTGTAATGTAATCAATAAAAGCAATCAGATTTTTTTCACAGAAGTTAACATAGGACTAATCATCATTGACAAGATTAGGTCAGGTTCAAATTTTGCTTTGTCTGACATCAGTACTGTAAGAGATGATTTTATAAACAAATTGTGCCCCACAGGAGCAAGGAGAGTATAATGTTAAGAAAAACACTATGTAGGAAATGAAGGACAATTCTTCACTGGAAAATCTTTAGAAAAAGTCTTTATCTTGTCTGGAGACGTGTTTTCCAATTGCAGGTAGCAGTCACTGTTACGGGGTGCTGGCTTTGTCATGCTCTGGAGAATGTGAAGGCAGAGGCACCAGTAAGGGACTCTGCAGAATGACTGTGTGGTTTACAATTCGGTCAGAAAGTTTAACTATGATGGACAGAATGAAGATTTTTTTAAAATAGCATCTGCTGTGCATGTAGGTTAGTGCAATGTAAGTGTAATTAAGAACAGCACATGGGATTACAGCCGAGAGAATAGTTTGACATGCCTGTGCCGTATCACTGCAGAAAGGCAGAAATGAATGTTGTAAAACCTTAGAGATGCCATGACAGAGTATGAAAAGCTCTTACTGTTCTGAAGTTCTAATTAAATGGCGTGTTCCTGCTGCATTTTTTATGTTGCATTGGTAAAAATGCTTTTGCAACAGTGATGAGAAAGCTACATCAGCATTTCCTTTGGTCTTGCGTCCATTATGTCATGTTAGCAACTGTATCATACTATTCTCTGTTGCTCATGCAGTTCTAATCCCGCTTAATTCATCGTCACTACTTGATTTTGCTGACCAAAAAAAGACTTGTTCTCAGCCTTGAGCAAACTTCACTTCTTTTATGTTTTGCATTGTTTTACTTTCCCCTGCTCCCCCAGTTCCACTCGTGTTTATTTACATTTTGCTATGACAAACCCGAGAGAGCTGTGTGCCCTGAGTTTTGCTTGTGGCTCTGCTCTGGGTGGGTGGAGAGATTAATTTGTAATCATATCTCAATTTTCACTAAATACAGGAGAAGCGTTTGTTTGCCTTTTTTAGTTGTCTGTTCTTTCTCCAGTTTTGATCGTGAGCTCTATAGGGAAAAAACCCAAACTAAAGCAATGGAAAATACAGTTGGCAGTGGGAGAGTATGTGCCTGCAAATCTCAGATGACGGGTAGTAGTGATTAACTCTCTATGTTTATATGGTGCACATACAGGCTTTTTCATCTGCTTACTAGTGAGATGAATGTAGTTCAAGTAGCTGCTCACACTGAAATGTATTTTAGGGGAGTAGCTGTAATTTATGGGAGTATATTTTTGGGATACCTGTGCACCTGTTACACCATTTAAAAATGAGTTTGTTAGTAATTATAATGTGCCTTGGGATGATCAGATTAATTTTTTGATATGACTACTATTGATGACTGTTAATATCTTTATTTGATATAATAAATGTATAATGAGATAGATTTCCTTAATCAGATTACAGAAACGTAGGGGAGTAGTCTATGGTTGCTTCATGTAGCTGTGTTTCTTTCCTGTTAACATTTTTAAACCATGGGCCTGCATTGAAGTCCAGAAGAGAAGTCTCAGAGTTAAACAGACCTTATATGGCACAGGACCTGCCTTAAAGAACCCGCTCAAATGAGAGTAAAGATGCAGTTTTGTCAGCTGAAGTTTTTGCCTCGAGTAGTATAAAAAGTGCTAAGTGGCAATAAGATTTTAGTGTTCTGTTGAGACATGTGTATTCTGTTGTGTATTTTAGTGGAAGAAAGACCTGGCAGTAAAATGCCATGGGCTGGAGTGAATTTGTTATGTGGTCAGTTGGATCGTGAAGTCAGAGATTTCATCTACACTGAGAGAGTTGTACATCCCGGTTAACAATTAAAATAGTTGTATTTTGCTAACTCCCATATGAAGTTTGAAAAATGTCTTCCCCCCTGCCCCGTATATGCAAACATGTTGCTGGATATTGGTGAGCATTTTGAGAACAACCATTTGTCTCTTTGAAGTTCTTTTTCATGGAGGTTGACAGTGCTACTCACAGTAGAAAGGTCGATGCCTGGTAGCAAAATTCCTGTTTATGGCTCAGGAACATGAATTATAGAATGTGCTGTAGGAGGTCAGAGGAGTGTTCTGGTTCAGCATGAGTTGTTTACTCCCTCACACATCTACTAATCACTAATTTGCATAGAGAGGATGTTCTCCAACATGAGCATTTTCAGTGCTTAAACCACAGGTACTATGTCTATGTAGATAGTGAATATACTGATGTATTATTGTGTGAGATAAATTAAGCAATATGTGATAAGAAGAATGAATCTCTGAACAGGGTATCTCAGTGCAAACTGTAGACAGAAAGAGTTAAATGAGTCATCTACATTTTTTATTGCTAATATAAACACTTCAGCAATGCTAATCAGTTTTACTGATTTTCCGTTTTGATTTTCCTTAATAATTAAGCAAAAGATCTGGAATGCAATCAAGTTTTACACTAGGGGGTTCATGCAAATGATTTTTTATTTTATTTTAAATTTTGTTACATGTATGCAAAAGGAAAGTTACTGAAGTTGAGGATAAAAGAAAAAAAAGGAAATATCATTTACAGTCTGCATAATCACAGTGACTATTTTCAATAGTTTCAACCTGTTTGTTGAAATTATTACTTGAAAATATAGCGACTTTTACTGCTTTTTAAACAACTGCACATTGACTATTCAGCTATTCAGTGTGCATGCAGAGAAACAGTTACAGACCATGAAATGTCTTTCAGCAACCCTGGTTTTTCAAGGGGGATTTAGCAAAATGGGATCATCTCTGTATCCTCAGATATCTTAAATATAATAGTTTATTTTTGTGAGCTTTTTTTTTCATTGACTTCTGATGAATGTATTGTAAAGTAAGACTATTTAATTTTCTTTTTTTTTTTTTTTTTTTCCCATGGCCCAGTGGACTTTTTTCTCTTCAAATAAAGTTATTGGTGCGGTTTGCTGTATTCTGTTCCATAATATTTAAAGTAAGAATTTTCTGTTTCTGGTTAATTTACTTCGTTAAAAATATTTATATTATTTCAAAACAAACATATCTATTAGAAATTATTTTCTTATTATATTACAGATTAAACTCAGTGATTTTTTTTTTTTGGGTTTTGGGTTTTTTTTTTGTGATCTCTATAGCCCTATAGTGTTAAAATTTATGTGAAAATGAGGATATAAGGTCAAATGTTCACTGAAAGGGAAATATAGCTGCTTAAGTCATTACAAATTACCTATTACCAACATTCATTCTGGCATTTGTGGATTAATGGCACATTGGATTACAAGTGTTTTAGTATGCAAATTAAAACAATTTACTTGAAAACAAAGATAGACCTAGTCAAAGCGTTAGGATAATCTCAACTTTTTTTCTTGTTACAGTAACTTTTGTATGAGCAAAATGTTTATTCTATTTGGGACTTGTACAACTGGCAGAGGAGGGGTTATTTTTTGCAAACTGTGTTGGGAATTCAACTTTAAAGAGTGGTAGCAATGCAGAATAACATGTGAGGCTGTCTGTTAACAGGATAAAGCAAAAGCATTTAAACCCTTCCCCTGATTAATTAATTTGTTTTCATAAGAAATATAGGTTAGTTAGTAAAAGCACTGCGACGTTTTTTGCAAGTCATGAGCTCACATTGTACCTTCTAATAGTGTTGTTTAGCATCATTAAGAATTGATAAGGAGTATTCATGCATATATATAAAATCTCATTTATATATTTGCATTAAAAAATAGACAACACCACCCCCTGAGTCCTGCAAAATATCTTTATATTGCTTATATTCCTCTGACTGCATTTCTCCATGGGAAGCTGTTGCCTGGGACCTGTAGCAATCATAGAATCATGAATCATTAAGTTGGTGGACCTCAAAGGTCATCAAGTCCAACTCTCAACCTAATACCACCATGCCCACTAAACCATGTCTAGAAGTGCTACATCAACATGTTTTTTGAACACCTCCAGGGATGGTGACTCCACCACTTCCCTGGGCAGCCTGTTCCAGTGTTTGACAACCCTTTTGGTAAAGAAATTTTTCCTAATGTCCAATCAAAACCTCTCCTGGCGCAAAAGTAAGGAAGGCAGTTTATGGAGATACCCAGGTCAAGGTAGTGGCCAGGTGTTAGGGGGCAGCCTTTCCGAAGCAGACCCTGGGTGTCACCCCCTCTTGCTGGCCCTGATCCTGGGTGCTCAGGCATCCTTAGGGAGGCCATGTGGTGAAGTCAGTGTGTAATTTTGGGAAGAGCTTTTTACGAAAGATGCTGCTTGAGATGGGGCAGCATCTGTGGTTTTTAAGAGGTCAGCATAGGCTGCAGGGATTGGGGGAGCTGCTGGCAACGAATGGAGTAGCACAAACTCCTCCTGTAAGTAAGCGACGTGCAGGATTTCTGACGATGTGTTGTTAGCCGAACCTTTCTACTCTTGCGGTCTTGAGCAAATGCCAGCCTTCATTTTAAATTGCAGCTCTGTCATTTGGTGTGGACAAATCATCACTAAACAGAGTGAGCTTGCCTGCCTGCAATTTGATGGGACAGTAGGACCTCTAAAATATAGTTTGTTCGCCGGCTGACTGTCCTGCCACTCATGTGAAACTACTCCATTTGGATTCTTCTTCCAAAATGGCCATGGTTTTGCTGCTGCTAGGCAAGTAGTGTGTGTTTCTTGAAGTACCTGTTGCTTTATATCAATTATATATATTGATTATATATGGGTCAATAGTTTTAGCTCCTTTATCTTTTATATAATATTATTAATATACTATAAATATTTTGTCTTACAGCCGCCTTTTTGCAAACATGGTTCTTCATTTGAACTCCTTTTTTGGCTTCTGTGTTGGCTTCCTCTACCATTGGATGGGGACAACTTTATCTTTGAATCTGGAAGATCCCAATGTGTGTAGCCACTGGGAAAGGTAATATTTTCTTCTGGAAAATACGTGACACAAATTCTGGTTGTAATAATTTTCTTTCATTTTACTTGACACATTTAAAATGATTTAAAGCTTTAAGTTGAGTAATGAATTGGGGAAAAAAGTTTCTCATTACTACAGGGCAAGGTAAGTTCATGGATAAGTAAAATACTATATCACACTGGGCTGAAATGCAGCTGTCTTTGCAGTAAGCGTTAGGATGCAAAAAAACACTACAGTGGCACCAGCAATGTCACAACCATCTGGGTACAAGAAGTGAATAAAAATAGCTTTTTTCAGTTTGAGTGAAAAGAAGCTTTTACATATGCAAAATATGATTAACCATATTGGAGTTTGGCCAAATTTGATTATGCTGATTCTTTCGTATTCAACATTCACAGAATCTGAATTAAGATTTGTTGTTTAATGTCTTTTGATGAGGTTCAGAAATTCGTAACATACAGAAAGAAATTAGTCAATTTAGTTGTTCCATTTGTTCACCCAGATTCAAGTTAATTGCAAGGAGAACACCACAATGGGTAAGAGAGGTTGAGCCACAAGCATTTGCTGTACTTCTTTTCTTGTGTAAAGGTTATAGTAGTGAAACCAAGCCTTATGTTCTTGTTGTTATGCCTGTGATTGATCAGCTAGTCCCCGAGATAGTCTAACTGTTCATTTAAGGAGATCAGTAGTTACTGCATTTAAGGTAAACTGTGTTTTATGTTTAATCACTGGGAGTGGTGCTAAACCACTGTACATTTATTTGCGATTGTTATGGCTGAATCTTTACAAAGAAAATTGAAACTTGTATTTACTTTGTTATAAAGTCTCTCTCTAAAAAAAAAAAAAAACCCCAAAAAAACCACTTCAGAACTTTCCCTAGGAATTTATCTGAGCTTCATGTGAAGCATTTGGAGTCACTGCCCCTACTGTTGTGTACAATGGCTTATACAACAGTGTGTATATGAAGTAGTTACCATGCAAAATACCTGTTTACAGTGTTCAGGCACACGTCTATGATGTTACTGGACACTGCTCTATATTGAGTATGCTTTGTTTACTGTTTTTATAGATAAAAGTAGCTAAAAGAGAGCTACAATGTAGCGAAAGCAAAATGGGAAAAAACCACAAATATAACTATTTACATTGCATAATATGTTTTAAAAAAAACTAATCAAGGTCTGCAGAGAGAAAAAAATATCTAGCAAGCATGCCCATTTTGTTACATGAGCTTTTTTCCTCCTTCTGCTGAGTATCAGAAACGGGGAGGGACTCCAATTAAACTTTCCAAAACATTCATGCTGTTGCTCAGAGCAGGTGACAAAAGTATGAAAGAGTAAAACCCCAGGTACAAGCTCTTTACGGCTGCTGTCACTGACAGTGCTATATGCTTTAAATAAATCTACCCCAGCCAGTAATAAAACATCTTTACAAATGAACTGCGATCACAGCAAGAAGGGGTAGAGTGTGCCCTGCCTCGAACAAAGAGTGCAGAGCCTCAGGGGAGCGTTGGCACCCCACCAACGTTTTGTCGGACTAAGTTGGACAGCTGGATGGATTAGGGTTGCTTGCCTTTGTATGGACATAGGAAAAATAGGGAGTACTTCTGGGCAGTTAGAGCAAGTGGGTCTGGATGTTTTCCGTTAGTATAGGTGATGACAGCAGGAAGAGAAGATTGTGGCTATTACCCTGCAATAGGTGCTAAGAGGTCAAAGAAAGTGAGAATGAAAGTGAGTGAAAGCTGGACAGGCTACATGTTTAGTAAGTGTTTTGGCTGGTCCTGGGAATCGGACCTACTGCAGGAATTTGCCATGCATTCCTGTATTTTCTAACCCACTTGTGCAATCACAGACTGACTGACTGCCAGCACAAACAGCCTGCTGAAGAGTTTTCTGGGATGATTCAATATTTTTCACTTTTGCCACAGAGCTCTGTTCATCTTGTCCCACTGACAGCTCTGGAGGCTCTGGTCTTCAGAGCATAGATTTATGTCTAGGACACTGTGCTTGCAATTTGGCAGAAAATAATGATAGCACTTCAGTATAGTATTTCTGGAAAAAAAAAAGAAAGGTTCTTTGTTAAAAGTTAGCTCGTAATCAAAATAAGGTATAGACTTTAATATTTTATGATTTCTGATTGCTGAGTAAATTGATGGCATAATTATATCATTGTTCAGTAATTATTACTTAGGTGTATTTCTGTGGTGACACCCATTCAGTGTCTAAATACACCAGCAGATCTTTTAACTACCAAAGAGGATGTTTTGCTATGGATACAGCTATGGTTTTTCAAAAAAATTTCAGAGAAAATCCAGTGAGATTTTTGTATTTTGTACGGTAACAGAAGAAGACTCATTTTCTGGCTCTCAACTAGTTTTGCAGCTATCCAGTGGTGTTAGTAAGAGTTTATTCCCACATGAGAACACATACTACACACCACTTCAATTTGCTGCTCATTTGAGACACAACTGTTTTGTGTTTTTTGTTTGTTTGTTTGTTTGTTTTAAATTTAGGCTTACCTTATGTCTAGTAGTACTATTTCATCAATTGTATTACACAGTAGAGACATGATGGCTCTCCTCATATATGTTTTTCTTTGCTTGGTCGAAGAAAAAACTTTCAATTGATATATTCTGTTTTATAAAGTTAACTGGTTCATGTTTTACTTAAACTTGAACTTTCTGCGAGTTTTTATTGCATGTGAGTACTGTTATATTTATTCCTTTCTATACCAGGACTTTGTAAAAGATTTACTTAAATCAGAGTGTACTATAAAGGACTTGCTCAATAATCTGTCTACTTTCTCTCTCTCTTCTCCCAGTTACTCAGTTACAGTGCAAGAGTCATATCCACATCCTTTTGATCAAATCTACTACACGAGTTGTACTGACATCCTAAACTGGTTTAAGTGCACACGACACAGGTGATGTATAGTTATTAATATTATCAAACTGCTGATATTGTAGATGTTTGTAAAGATTTTGTGTCTGCCAAAATCAAGCATGATATATAGGATATTTTAGCTATAGTGACTAGTCTGTTCAATGGCTGTGACCTGTGTCAACTGGGAAATGCTTGTCCAAGCAATGTCATGTATGTTTTACTAGCATGTCAGGGATATAATTCCATGGAGTGCTCACAGAAAACCTGTTAGGTTGGGAAAAAGTGTGCAGCGCACAAAATTGAATTGCCCACACCCCGTGAGGTGTATTTGTTGAGAAATGTCATGAGAAACCCCTTGCTGCTTTCTGGGGAAAGTGTATGCTAATTGAAAGGAAAATAAAAGGATTTGTTAAAGGAAACTCCCTGCGCTTGCAGAAAGTAAGCAAAGGGTGAATGATTAAAAACTGGTGACAGCTGTAAAAAGCATTTTCCTTGGAGGAATATGCCCTTAAGTGTGAAGCATCAGCAATGGGAAAGGCTCCCTGGGGCACAGCAGCTGGAGGAGGCAGATCAGTACGGAGAGTAGGTAAAAAGCAGATACTGGCTTCAAAGAGAGATTACACTTTTTGTTTACCTAAGACACCATTTATATATGAGCTGTTCTTTGCTGGGAGTTCACACTGTCTCAGGTGGTGTGGGGCTGTGTTTACTGCTTGGTGGAGTATGAGTTGAGCAGCCAGGAGAGCTGGAAGTGGGGAGATTTACAGACATGGTGAGGAACAGAGGGGAGAGAGCAGTGGGAGCACCCACTTCTGTTAAGTACTACTTGCTTGTGTCAGAAGGAAGCTGTATTTTCTGCAATTCTTGATGGGTTTACGTGATGATTTCTCTGTGCGCTACTCGCTGCTGCCCTTCTGGGCTGCATTTGGCAAAACTCAGCCAACCTGCTAGTGAGAGGCATGCCGGCTGCCCAGGGGGTCCGAGTTCTCCCTTGAGCTCTCCATTCTCTTGCCTTAACCAGAACTTCTCTTCTCACAACATTTTTGCCCCCAGAAAACTGACTCATCCTTGGGAGGATGATCCCCAGAAGGCTTTCCCTTGGAAGCTGATAATGATCCAGCAAATTGGTTTGTATTGCCAGCCAGCCTTTAGCCTCCATAGGGGATGCTAATAGCAAAGGCAGTGATGCTCTGGTTTGCATATTAGTTAAGCAGCCTAAATCCTTAACTTCTTTTCCTGCTGTCCAGCCACCCATGGACATAAGACTTATTGGGGAACCACTAGGAGTCTTGAACTCAGCAACAGATAAATCAAGGTCTCTTTGAGCTTTTTTTCTGTCCTCTTGGTGATACCTGAATGTTTTTTAAAATGTGTAAGAATATATATTGTTTTTTTCTGGACCATGAATTCTATGTAACAACCATTCTGCAACAAACATTCATTCTTTTCTTTAGGATCAGTTACCGTACTGCCTACAGACATGGTGAAAAAACAATGTACAGGCGTAAATCCCAGTGCTGCCCTGGATTTTATGAAAGCAGGGAAATGTGTGTCCGTAAGTTTACCTTCTTTTGGCTTGAAATTCAATAAATTTATCACAATCCTGGTTTGACTCGCCGTTGGTGGGCGCCCTGTGGAAGCTGAGTTACGGGGGCTCAGTTATTCATCAGTGGTGTTCGTGCAGCTCTCATAGAAGTCAGTTGGTGTTGTGCATATGCAAATGACAGGATAATTTGATCTCAGATGTCTAAGTAACCAGCCTTGATGTGATTCTAACTAATGATCATATGGAAAATACACAGCACAAGTGTCAGTGTATTTTCCAACACAGTAAATAAATACAAGACTCAAAACCAGAAGGGAAACAAGGTTTTTCTCCTTAGTGTGCACCCCAGTTGATCCCCATGCTTAGCCTCTCTTGCAGATACAGAGATCTGGAACAACTGTTCGAAAGCAGCAGCACCGCCTTTTCATGTGGCACGTGTCCCTGACTCCACATCTTCCTAAGTCTAAAGAGGGAAGGGCTATGTCCAGAGCCTGGCAGTGGCCTTGGCTCAGCTCTCTTTGTCACTCTTGTATGGCCTTGTGCAGACCTGGGAAGGTCTGATTCTTAAAACGGTGTTCATTCAAGAACATAGTAGAAAGGCAGAATGAAAATAGAGGAGGTGTTAATCCAGAGACCTGGAAGTGTGTGGTTAGAAGTTTCACATAGGGCTGTTCAAAGTCATACAGCAGGTTGGGTAGCTAGATGCTAGATGTTGGTAGGACTGACAGCAGGGAACTTGGAATAGGTAAGTGATTATGAAGGATAGCATCTCCTTGGAGATGGGCAAATGTGTAGGGCTAAAAATTAAATTAGTTCAGTAGCATTTCAAATTACTTCTCCCTATGAATGCACATGCACAGCATGGCCTGCAACAGTAAGCTTTCCTGAAGTCAGGGAACCAAATCTCTTCATCTCTTTGAAAAACTGGGTGTATCAGGGGCTGTCTTTTTTCTGTAACGTCATTTATAATGTTGACTTGTGCATAAACTTTTATTAATTTTAGGAGACAGAAAGTGTGTGCATTATAGTGGAAAACAGCTATAGCCATATCTTAGTTTTGCTTTCACTCTTCTAATAATAAGATTTGAAAAAACCTTCATAACCTTGACAATGTCAGCAGGACCGAGGTGCTATAGTTGAATTTTTTCTGGAAATGGGGGTCCCTGACGAGCAGACTGGTGGGGAGCTGGAGCCTCTGGACTGCAGGGGCTGCCCTTGGGCTTGCTGCCTGGTTTCTGAACAGGCAGCTGATTGGCAAGCCTTGCCAGGAGAAAAAGGTGAAAAGCCCAGCCTGTTGGGAAGGCCACAACGTGTGAGCTGTTTTGGCGGCTGCTTTGGCTTCTCTCCTGTGAGGCTCTGCTTGATGTACCTGAGTCAAACCCGGACTTGGCTGGTCTGTGTGGGGAGCCCACCAGCACACTTCCTCTGTCCCAGAGCTGGACCTGGACTGAGGCATATGTGAAAGGCTGGCTCTGTAACAGCATGTTTTCTGCCTGAGTCTCTGAGGCACACTGCTTTACCCGGTGGTTTATTCTCAGCTGAGAATGAGAAAAATGGAGATACTTTCATTGCTTTATTGTCTGGCTTTTGGCTATAATGACAGTGGTGAAGCATAGCACTCAAGGCTTGGAGAAGCTTGTCCAGGAAAACATTCTGTGAAGTAGCAGGTAATGAGATTTTCGTTGCCACTGGAGTTTGCAACCCAGTTTTGGAGACATCAGTGTGTTGCATGTCTTTGGTCTTTACTGATAAACGAGAGTCTGAAAATCAGTATCCCTATGTACTTTAAATTTATTTATTCAACACAAATGTAACACAGTTTCGTAATTTGTGCCTTTCTGCTTGTTGTGAGGTGCATACTGGAAGTGACCGACAAGATTTATTTGTATCCCTGGACAATTATACCCTGTGAATGTCATAACACATCCCACTATCCTTAGTTACATTTTTGTTTTACAGTACTTCCTAGAATTTGAAAATTCAGCCGTAAGATCTTTGATTTAAAGTGTTTTCTGCACATGAAAATGCAAGGTTAAAATGATACTTTTAAAAACCAACTTTTTTAAAAAATGGATCTATCTAAGATCAGATTGGCAATTTTTATAACCTTTATGTTTTTAACATGTGTGTGTATTAGACCTATAAGGACCAATTTTTAACTACATTTGGTTATTACACAGCATATACAAATGATCATAATTGATTTTTTGATTAAGGAGTATACTTTTTGAAGTATAGAACAGTTTGACTGATCACGTGAGAAGTGTGATGGTGAGTCTTTTGTGTGACTACAGCTTTTACATAGCTATAGTAGACGTAGTAAATTCATTCTATATTAACATAGTAATACCCAGAACGTAGTAAATTCAGATTACATTGGTTGTACTAAATTTTTACTTTTACTACATGAAAAGATGCCATATGCTGGTATTCAGGACGTACCTGCTCTGACTTCTGAAGTGATTTTGGAATACCTGAGACTTCAAATGATGTAAAAATAAACATCCTTCAGTGGACCTAACTTTGAATTTATTTGGTTCTGTAATGGTTGACCCTGGAAGGTATTGAGAGACATTCAGTCCTCATGATCTTCAACTGCAGCTGAGAATTCAGGGCAAAGGAGGAGCTCAGAAGTTAATAGGCGGCAAATATTTCATGCTTTCTGTTGTTTCTGCCAGCTTTCTTCATAGTGAGCTGTACATACTGGACCAGATGATGCCTGTATACACTGTGATAGTACTAGTTGTCTGGTTTAACTTGGAAAGCAAGTGTGGTGCTGTCAGCTAAGATCAAACGGTAAAAGATAGTATATGGTGAGAAATATTTTCCTGTGTCATTGTAGCAGAATTATCTCCGGCACAAAGCCAGCGCAAAGTCTTTTTCTGTAAGAAAGTGGCCATCACATTAAAAAACACACATGCACCTCCTGCCTTTTTTATATGCAAAGATAGAAGAGAATCAAAGCCATTTGAAGTATTGAGGTTATCTTTCATGCCGTTGCTGCTTCACAATGCACACAGCATTTTCATTACAGTAGTTTTATTTTCCATGCAGCGTGTATTTTTTTTTACTTAGTGGAGGATGTAGGATGCTTCTGAAAGGCTAATGGATTTGTGGGGCCACTGATGTTTTGTTGTTTGTTTGTTACTTTATTTGAATTCTCAATTTAGAAAGCCCAATTAGAAAATTCTATGGGTAGATGATTTTGGTATGACGCAACACTTCAGTGCATACAGTGATGAACTGAAATCTTCTGACTTCGTTTTTAAGATAATAGGAATCTACAACATGAATACTCACCAGTTAAGTTCCCCTAGAGGTAGTACTTGCTAGTGGTAGTGCCACGTCATTGCCTATAGTGGAAAGAGAACTATTTGTCACTGCATAAAGAGTTGCAAGAGTTGCCAGACTCTTGTTGCTGAAGTCTGTAAGTGTATTCACAAAGGAGAAGAATGACCAACAGCCAGAGAAAAGCATTGGCTAAAATCTAAGTGCGTTATTTTTGAGCCTTTTGGAGTCCAGTCTGAACAGATGAATTTGAATTCATCTTAGGATACAAGATTTCTGCGGGATTGTGACTAACTTCTGTACTTGTTCCTGGAAATTTTCAATTGGTGAAACTTATGTTAGGTTTTCACTTTTTGATTAAAATGCCTTTTGTGGTTTGTCTTTGGATTCAGTATATATATATTTATGGAATGTATATGAAAAATATACAAACAGGGCTTTTTTATCAGTCATATGGAAATTTTTGTTTTGTTTGTTCTTCTCTGAATTGAAAATAACTGTTGTACTGTAAACTGTTCAAACTCTGACACAGAATTTTAGCGTCCTCTTCTTTTGACTAAAGCCATTGATAAGAAGACAACAGTCACACTAGAAATAGATACCTGTTCAGAGTCTTATGGAAAAGACCACCCCACTACAGCCATCATAAGTTTTAAAAACGTCTGTTAAGCAACTCAGATACCTGTCTTTCCAATGTTCCTGAGTTTGTTGAAATGATGCTGCATTTGCTATTAATAAGCAGCAAAGTGGTGTCAGAAGTCAGCCTTCAGCTCCATCTGCAGCCCTTGGAAGCTTTTCAGGGAACCTCTTGGGGAAGTTTTAAATGACGTTAATAAATATTATAATAGACACATTTTTTTGGTGTAACTTTTGGCCAGTATAGATATATTCTCTTGCAGATTGAGTTTATTATGACAAGCAGTGTTCGGTCATGCTGAATAGAAAAACTACCCTGTGTTTAATTAGTTGTGGCATTTGGGTTTGTCTTCAGGTGGGTAAAAAAATTATATTTTAATTTTAATTCCCACATTATATGGGGTTAGTAGTTGGACTGTTTAATAAGCATGAAGATACCTGTTAGTACTTCCAGTATTACCCTGGTTTGTGCTCTCTTCATATAACTCCTGTTTATAAAGGATGTGAATAATGTGGAAATTTCTGACTTCCGTGTTCACTGTTACCAGCATCTCTGCAGAAGTGTAGGCTAACTGGAGCTCAGATGATTATTTATTTTTGCTCTAAAAAATTACAGCGCATATAATTAATGTTTAGATCTGATGGACTTTCTGAGGTGATCTGAATGCAGTTTATTTGCAGATACAAAGATAGAGTCATTCTGTTAAGTTCTAGAAAGGAACTTACTCCTGGCCTTAGAAAGTCCACACCAGGTTGAGTGATTGACTTACTTAGTTTCTTATTTATTCCAAATAATTTACTGTTACTTACCCTAATATCAGTGACAAGCCCTAGGAGATTTGGCATATGGATGCTAGGCTGAGCCACAGACTGAGAAGTTTTTACAAAAAGCGCGATCTTCTATTTTTTTTTTTTTTTCACGTTTACGAAGTCCATTCAATTTTTAGCATATTTCTGAAATAAAAGAATTCAAAACTTTAAGATGTCGTCTGGTGACTTTCTTGTAGATTGACACATGTGTGGATGGTAGATTGATCCCAGTAGCATTTTGGTATCTTGAACATTAACTTCCTGTTCAGGTTTTG